GAGAAATGGCCTGCAACATTGCTCGTGGCTATGAAGACGTGCATTTCTCTTTGGAAAAGTGCACAAAGAAGCTTATTTACTGGTATTGTGCTGAATTTAGAAATTAACAGAAAGAACTGCTACTTACAATCGCTAAGATCTGGAAGCAGCCCAAGTGCCCATCAGTAGATGAGTGGATAAAAAACTGTGGTGCAGCCCTGGCCGGTTTGAGCGTTGGCCCATGGATCAGAGAAATCCGCTAAGGGCATGTACCTCGGTTGCAGTTTGTCCCCGCCCCGGTTGGGGTTGTGTGGGTGGCAACCAGTCGATGTGTCTCTCTCACATCGATGTTTCTCTCTCTCTCTCCCTCTTTCCCTCCCGTTCTATCTGAAGATAAATGCAAAAACGTTCTCGGGTGAGGATACAAAATAAAAAAATAAAAAAGCTGTGGTACATATACACAATGGAGTACTATGCAGCTGTAAGAAAGAGAGATCTCTTACCCTTTGAGACGACATGGAGGGACCTGAAGAGTATTATGCTGAGCAAAATATGCCAATCAGAGAAAGGCAAGCAATACGTGCATTGTTCTCAGGCAATCAAAGGTGCGTGCTCTCATCGGGTGTAACAGAGTGAGAGACCTCCCAAAGTCAGTGAAGGGCTGTGAGTTCACAAGGGAAGGCTGTGAGGGCTGGTCCTGGACACCAGCGCTCCCCCCCCCCCCGCCCCCCTGCTCTGGGCTGCATCACAGCTCCTCAGGATGCCCTGTCCTATCTTTGTCTCTGGTTCCAATAACTGCTTCCTGCCCTCGCCCCCTCAGACCCGGGCAGTCACCAGAGCCCTGTTAGGAGCCCAGACACTGCACGATCCTTTGTGGTGTCCCTACACCCTGCCCACACTTCAGAAACTGTCCCTTTGTTAAACTCTCCCCAAATCACCCAAGTGCATGCGCCGTCTGTTTCCTGCTGGGGCCCTGACTGATGCAGTGTTTTTAATTTGTCTCTGTACCACCTCTGCCTCTACTCACACGCACCCACCTCTATCACTGACACACTCACGCACTCACCTGCTCACACGACGACCACTCTCAGTACTCACGCACAGCAGTGCCCACTCCCAGCACTGGGGAATGGAGTGCTCTGGTCAAAATCCTGCTCTGGTGAACTGAGGGCCCACCTGTGATGCAGGAACCGACCCCTGCAGGACGCTGCCACTGGGGGCCTGTCACCTGCCCACCACTGAACCGGCGACTCTCAGCAATTCTTCTCTTTAGAAATGCTGCACTGGGCCCGGTGTGGCCCAGTGGTTGAGCATCAACCCATGCACCAAGAGGTCACCGGTTCGATTCCCGGTCAGGGCACATGCCCAGGTTGTGGGCCTGATCCCCAGTGTGGGGCGTGCAGGAGGCGGCCAATCGATAGTCTCTCTCATCAATGTTTCTCTCTCTCTCTCCCTTTCCCTTCATCCTTCTCTAAAATCAATAAAGAAAAAATATTTTTATTTTATTATTATTTTTTTTAATTCCTCACCTGAGGATATTTTTCTACTTATTATCAGATAGAGTGGAAGGGAGAGAAAGAGAGAAACATCAATGTGATAGAGCCACATCAATCGGTTGCCTCCTACACGACCCGACCAGTGCTGGGGACGAACTGCAACCAAGGGACGTGACCTTGACTGGAATTGAACCCGTGTCTTATGGTCCGAGGGCCGACACTTTAACTGCTGAGCCAAACCAACCAGGGTAAGAAAAAATATTTTTAAAAAAATGCTGCACCTTGCCCACTACTAATCCAGACGAATGCACCAACTGTACATCCTCAAGGCACTTGGAAAGAGGCTTCATAAAAATACGAAGTTAAAAGAAGGAAGTTAAAGTGACCCCTGGAGTCGCTTTAGCCATGCAGAATAGACTTAAGAGGAAAATAAAATCTTTCCAGCAAATTCTAGGTAGGTAGAGAGGAACAGAAACCTTCAGCTCACACAAACAAAGATTAGTTTAGATGGACAGCACCAGGAATTTTGGGTGGAGGTTGAAGGGAGACACGTTTTGGCTCAACACCAGGTCATCTTTACAAGAACTGGAGGCCATCTGTTGATGGACAGGCCATCTTGTAAAGCGGCCCCTTGTCTAGGGCTGCGTTGCAGAGAGCCAGGGTAGGAGCAGGGAGCAAATGACCTCTAAGGAGCCTTTAAGATGCACCCGTGACCTTGGGCACGGCACTCCCCCTTTGAAGTTTCTACTTCCTCATCTGTAGACTGACCGCCTCCGTCTAGGTGTCTCCAAGGGGGTTACAACAGCTATAGCTTCTCTAAATCTCTGATTCTGCAGGCAAAGAGCCTCAAAAAAATAGGGGGTGGGGTTTGGAAAGGAGCTGCAGAAGTAATTAGTGATGGAAATGCGAATCTCTAGCTGCCTCTGGATGTCTGAGTTTGCATATTAAAACAAGGCTGAATCTTGGCTGAATAATTCTGTTCCCTCCAGAGCAAAAGGCAACAAACGGACGGTAGGATGCTGGAAAAACCTGGCCTCCGTTGGAGAGGCAGATGAACTTGTTTGGGAGACAGAGGGCCAGGCTATGGAGCTCGGCTTCCTCGGTGGGGCTGAAGGCCTCAAGCACATAGGCTGGCGTTTCTGAGGGTTAGCAAGTCCCTGGCCTTTCTGGTTGGGCTGGGGATCATTCAAGAAAATATACCTGGCCTTGGCCGGTTTAGCTCAGCGGTTAGAGCGTCAGCCTGCACACCAAAGAGTCGCAGGTTCAATTGCAGTCAAGGGCACGTACCTCAGTTGTTGTTCGGTCCCCAGTCCTGGTCGGGGTCGTGTGGGAGGCAACCAATCGATGTCTCTCTCTCTCCCCCTCCCACTCTGTCTGAAAAATGAATGGTAAAAAAATTCTCAGATGAGGATTTAAAAGAAAGAAAATATGTCTGCCTGCAGGCCCCCACGCTCACTGGCTCTGTGACCGTGGGAAACAAATGTAAGTCTGCAAGCTTCAGTGTTCTCACTAGTGAAGTGGGGGAATTGTAGCCCCTCCTTTGTGGGGAGTGGGGGTGGGGAGCCACGAACCAAAGCACACAGACACTTTGCACACGGTGCCCGTGTCATGCCTACTCACGGGGAGCTTGTGGGCTTCTCAGGAGCAGCACACAGTGCCTATTGCAGACAGCCCGTGGCCCACGCTGACCCTGGCTGTAGCCCTTCCCCTCATCCCAGGATTCAGAAAGGTGGCCCATGTGGCCTCTTAGCTCAGCCTTGGGTGCCCATGTAGTGCCAGTAGCTTGAAGGCAGCACGAAGGTGGGTGGGTGGACACCCAAGGGAGGGACTTCAGGGAGCCTGGGCGGAGCCCTCTGCTTGCCAAGGCTGTTAGATACTCCCCATGCCAGTGCTAGTCCTCTGCAAAGTCTTTTAAACCACAAGGATCAAACTGAGCAGTTTTGCTCCCTCGCATTCTGGCCCTGAGGTCTTAGGTAAGGGGGTCGCTTGTGGGGCCCACACCTCTCAGATGGTTTCCCTCGGCCCTTGGGGAATGATCCTTAGAGATCCCCTGATCTGTCTCCCCAAAGACAAACTTCCTTAGGACCAGGCCTGCCTCGCGTCCCGCTGTGCCTAGGCGAGGTGTGCGTGTACGTGTGCATGCACCGTAGCCACCACACTGGAGATAAAGAATTCCAGCCCAGTTCTTCAAACGAAAGACGTTGTTCTAAAACTGTATGACACCACTCACTAGGCGGGGTCTTCCTAGTGGTTAGTTCTTCAGCAGCTTTCTTGCCGAGCACGTTATGGGGAGGGTTGGAGAATTCCCAGTGGCCAGAGGGAAGTTACGAAGATGAAAACTTGCAGTTTAGATCATGAGGATTTTGTTAATATATTTCTATTTTAAGCCGTCATACAAAATCCTTTGTATTGATTTCAGTGTGATGTACCCGACTGAATAAATATGCCAATTTCTGCCAGGGAGCCAAACAGTATTTTTAAACTACTTTAAAATATGTGTTGTTTCCTATGATTTTTAAAGTTTGGAGTTGATTATGAAAGCACTTTCAATTTTTAAAAAAATTCTTTCCAGAGATTTTTCCATGCATATATTAAACTATTAAATACAGAGCTTAATGGGGTGGATAAATACTTTTTCAAGCTACAAAGAAAGGTAAAAAAAAAAAAAGGTGAAATGATTTTTTTATTTTGCTTATGTGTATCACTGACTATTAGTTAATTAGTCTGTTTAGTGTATAACACTGTGTCCTTAGGGCCCTGCCAGAAACATCAGGATCTTCAAAAATTGAGGAAGAAACAGAACTGAGAGCTAAAGCTTTTCAGACCTGGGCCGACAGGATCCCCACGATGGTGGCAATTTCATCGCCCTTTCATGGGATGGGAGGGTAGGAAGGGAGACGCCTCGGAAGGCTTGCTCCTGGGCTCTTCTCTGTCCTCTTCTTCAAGTGGGAGGGGGGGAGGTGCGACCCCTCGTTCAAGGCCATTGGGAATATCGATAAGATGGTATTCAAGACTGGCTTGAGTTCTTGTTCGGAAAGTCACCGGAGAGCTAATGACCACGGTCATTGCTGTTTGTGACTCCAAATGCAATGTCCTGGTTCTGGACAGAAATACAAAATTTCCGTCTTGGAAGATGATACCAGCGATTGCCCTTGCTTTCAGAGCGAGAACTCTTAGAAAATGTGGGCACAGAAGGGTTGGGGCTGCCTGGGAGAACCTTAGCTCAGAGCCAGAGCGAAGAACGAGCTCAGAATCACTGAACCCAACATTTCAGGAGCCCCTGGCCATCTGGCCGAACTGCCGACCGCCAGTACGAATCCTTGGCTTGGTCCCTCCCTGTGGCCGGAGCCACGATCTCACAGGACAGCCTGTCCATCTCCAAGAGGCAGACTGTGGGAAAGTCTTTCCTAATTTCGAGCAGAAACCTGATTGGGGAACGCGGGACCTTTTCCCAACACGTGCTGTTGCTCCAGGTTTGTCTCTTTAGCACAGACCTTGCCTCCTTCCCCCACGTCCCAGGGTTACCTGAAGTTGTAGCCCGGGGAGATGCTGCTCTTCTCCGAAACACCGTCCAGTCGAGTGAAGGAGTATTTGGGGATGCACTGGTCCCAGGCCTTGTCCAAATCACACACCCAGCCGATCTTAATGCCCAGCACACCGCCCTGGAGAAAGGCCGGGTCTGAGCTCTCCCTCCAGGCAGGCCCCTGTCCTCATCCGGGGCGTGAGTGTGTGTGCGTGTGTGTGCGTGTGTGCGCGTGCGTGTGCGACAAATAGACAAGTGATTTCTTTGCATTCTCTGGGTGGAGGACGCAGGTGGGGAGAACGAAAAGTGATCTGTCGTCACATGACGCTGAGAACAGAAGCACTGTGGCTCAGGGTGAGAACTCTCAAGACTCCAAATCCTGCTTTTGGTGTCTCAGTCCCTTACCTACAACACGGGGGAAAGTGGCCACAGATGCATAGTCAAGGCCCCAAGGCTTCTCTATCTGCAGGTGAAGTGTGAAGACGGGGATGGGAAACGGGGCGTCGGGGGCAGGGTGAGGGAGGCAAGACCACTCAGGACAGGTGGGTGGAAAGGTTCAGGAGCCAAGCCAGTGGCAGGACTGAGGAGCTTCCACCAGGTGGCGCTGTCTCACCGCCGCTCCGCTTCCCCAGCATCCCCACTGCCCGCTGAGGGGTCCCCAAGTCCGTGGAAGGGTGGCTAGGTCCTCACCGTGCTGGCCAGTTTGGCAAAATCCTGCCCCGCAAACTTGACCACATCCCCCACCCGCAAGATGGGGCAGAAGGGGGCCTTGTCAGGGTGGAAGCGGCAGGTCTTCATGTCCGCAGCGGTCAGGTTGGGAAGGAGGTTTCCCCTAGCGCGGGAGGGAGAAGGGAGAGGGGCGAGGCCCAGGGTTACGGCGGAGACAGTCCGGCCAAGCTCTTCTCCAGCCTCCCGGAGCCTCAGGGCCCTTCCACGCCAGGCAGCGGGGTCTGAGACCTGGTCTCTGGGTCCGTCTGCTCTCCCTCCCCTCTGTCCCTGCGCCCTCCTGGCGACACCCTGCCTCCCATCCCAGGGGTGTGAGTGTTCATGTCTAATGTCCCCCAGCTCCAGGCTGGGGCTCCGGAGGTGGGGGTGGGCCTGGCAGGGAAGCTGGCCCCAGAGTCCACCTAATACTTGGTGGTCAGGGCTGGCTGGGGGGTCTGGCCGGCACGTGGGGAATAGGAGCCCCAGGGAGACCGGGAGGAAGTGGGGAGAACCCAGGCGAAGGGGCGTCGCCTCTCCTCTGAAAGCCCCGGGCGGGTGCACTGCCTCTTGGCTGTAGGGAGGAGCCAGGACTCACTTCTCAAAGTTGAAGAGGGGGAAACGGATGCTGTTCTTGATGAAAATAGTGAAGTTCTCGGCTTCCATCATGACAGGCCTGTGGGTGAGCACAGGAGGAAGGGGAAGGGGAACAGGGGCGCTTTCACCGGGGCCCCCCTACCAGGTGGCCATCTCCCAACGGGCAGGTGACCATGGCCTCCCGGGTCTGAGGGTCAGAGGACAGGAGGGTGGCAGGTAGATGAGCTGGGGAAGATGCTGTCCTGAGGTGACTTCCCCGCCCCAGGTGGACACTACTGGGGGGCGCCCACCAGACCCCCTGCAAGTCGGAGGTGCAGCTCCCCGCAGTGGCAAAGGGGAGCTGGGGTGGGGCCTCTCTCTTCGCCGGGCTCAGGCCCTCACATTTCCACCGTGTCGACCTCGGTGGGGCACCAGCCCTGGGTCTCACAGGTCCGGAGCACTGAGCTGTAATTCACGCAGCGGCCGGTGAGGATCCCTGCGAGGGTGGGGACACGGTGCTGTGTGCTCGTCTGCCCTTTGCCATGTGCCTCCCGCACCCCACCCCTCCTCATCAGAGGTACCCCCAATCGCACCCCACCCCTCCTCATCAGAGGTACCCCCAATCGCACCCCACCCCTCCTCATCAGAGGTACCCCCCAATCACGCAAGGATCCTGCAGGTGGACGGGAAGGACAGGCAGGCAAGGGTGGTCCACCGGTGGCACGTTAGCCACAGAGCCCCCGACCCGTCCTCTGCAGCCCCAGGCAAGCCCCAGGCAAGCCCCCCTCCAGGCAAGCCCCCCTCACCCCATCCTCTGCAGCCCCAGGCAAGCCCCCCCTGCCTCGTCCTCTGCAGCCCCAGGCAAGCCCCCCCTCCACGTAAGTCCCCCCCCTCCTCTGCAGCCCTAGGCAAGCCCCCATCCTCTGCAGCCCCAGGCAAGCCCCCCCACCCCGTCCTCTGCAGCCCTAGGCAAGCCCCCCCTCCAGGCAAGCCCCCCCATCCTCTGCAGCTCCAGGCAAGCCCCCCTCCTCTGCAGCCCCAGGCAAGCCCCCCCCCCCGCCCCGTCCTCTGTAGCCCCAGGCAAGCCCCCCCTCCTCTGCAGCCCCAGGCAAACCCCCCCCCCGTCCTCTGCAGCTCTAGGCAAGCCCCCCCCTTCCTCTGCAGCCCCAGGCAAGCCCCCCCCGTCCTCTGCAGCCCCAGGCAAGCCCCCCTTCCTCTGCAGCCCCAGGCAAGCCCCCTTCCTCTGCAGCTCTAGGCAAGCCCCCATCCTCTGCAGCCCCAGGCAAGCCCCCCTTCCTCTGCAGCCCCAGGCAAGCCCCCCCTCCTCTGCAGCTCTAGGCAAGCCCCCATCCTCTGTAGCCCCAGGCAAGCCGAGGGAGGTGACAGCCTCCTCTCACAGGTCCCCATGTTCCCGTCACAGCCTGTTCTCCTTGCCTCTGAGCCTTTGCTGCCTCTGCTCTTCTGCCTGTAACATCCCTCTTAAAGCCCCGTCTAGCCCTGGCCTGTTTGGCTCAGTGGTTAGAGCGTCGGCCCATGGACCAATGAGTTCTGGGTTCGATTCCAGTCAAGGGCACGAACCTCAGTTGTGTTTGTCCCTAGCCCTGGTCGGTCGTGCAGGAGGCAACCAGTCCATGTGGCTCTATCACATCGGTGTTTCTCTCTGTCTCTCTCTCCCTCCCTCCCACTCTACCTGATAATAAGTAGAAAAATATCTTCGGGTGAGGAATAAAAAAATAAAAAAATAAAGCCCCGTCTATCCTGTCATATCCTACCCATCTGTCAGGGCCCATGTCAAATGTCCCGCCTCTAGGAAGCCATTTAGGACCAATCTCTTTCCTTCCCCATAGTACCTCCTTGACATTACTTGCCACCTCATGACAGCTGTCTGTCACCCCCATGCGGGGACTGGGGACCCTTTTGGGGGTCCCACGACTCTTTAGGGTGCAAGGGGTGGGGAAGGGGCTCCACTCACCCCCACCTGGGAAGCGCTCAGGCCCGCACTGGCTGTCTGATACACAGTGGTACTTGTCCTCGCTCTGTGGGGAGACAGGTCCACAGGTGGGTGAAGGACCCTGGGCCGGCCCTGGGTGAGACCCTAGGTACCACTGCCTCCCCACGGCTGCGGTCTCTGGAGGGTGGAGGTCGGTTCCCAGACACAGTTCCAAGGCCAGACCTGAAGCTCTGCGTACACCCACGCCCCTCCCTGCCACCTCCGCCCCCCCGCCCCGCATTTTCTTCCTTGAGCTGCTTCATCAAACCTCCCTCCCCCCTCCCTCACCTCTGGGCAGAATCCTTGCATTTGGTTTTCAGTAACGATCATCTTGGTGATGATGACAAACACAGAGGTGCCCTTGGGAGGAGAATGGAGAGAAGAACACGCGACAGTGCCAATTTGTGAGGCGGGGACTGTTGTTACCCCCACTGTACATGGGAGGAAACTGAGGTTCCAGTTAAGAGGTTTGGCCAAGGTCACAGGGCTACTAAAGGGCAGACGTGGGGTCTAAACCAGGCTCTTCTAACAGCCCTCCGGGCCCCTTGTGGCAGAAGGAGAGGGGGTGCCCAGCCCCGCCCCAGCCGCCGGGGAAGGGCTTCTCTGGGTCACTGATGCCACAGATCTGGTTTGCGAATCCCATCGGCACTTCCCCCGCCAACCTGCCCAGGGTCTGGGGCACAGCGACCTGCCATAGGGGACCATACCTGCGGTGGGGTCACATAATCAGACACATCCATGACTCTGTTGGCGTAGCGTCCAAAGCCCTTCACTTTGGTCACCACGGAGGACTCAATGGCTGTATCCCGCACCTGGTACGCCTTCTCGTGCAAGAAAACCCACCTGGGCAGGGGAGCAGGACGGAGAGCAAGAGAGAAGGGTGTGGGCCTGTCAGACAGAGGCCGGGAGGGGTTGGCTTCAGGTGGACATGGACCACAGGGGCCAGGCAGGGAGGCCTGTGCTGGGGTGTGGGATGTCATGGTGAGCCCTGGCTTGGCTCTGACCACTGTGACTCCATCCTTCCCCCCACTTCCTGCTCAAGGAGCAGTTTTAGACTCCCTCCCCCAGTTGTCCCCCTCCATGAAATTTTAATAGTATACATACCAGTTTATGCACTGTATGTGTATTCGTGCTTTACACACAAAAAGAGAGATAATTTTTATTCCTCAAGATCACTCTGGTGAGGAATCATTCCTGCTCCTGACGGAGGTCACTTCTCCAGCAGGAATCCAGAGGCAGAAGGGGCAGAGGACCCTAGGCCTCTGGCTCTGTGCCTCTCAGGCTTTGTTTGTGGCTGTTTCCTAAGTGTCTGCACATAGTAAGTGTTCAATAAACAAGTCAACGAAGATGCTTGGGAACTGGGCAGCTGGCAGAATCTCCTGCGCAAGCGACGGGGGAGAGGGATGGGGGACGGAGGGAGGGGCCGCGGCTGAACCTTTACCTGGCGGGAAGGTGGAGTTGGGCGTGGAGGGAGGAGGAGGAGCCTCTAAATCGTATTCCTTGGATTGTGCTGCCACCTAGTGGACATTTACCTGTATTGGCTTCTTCCTGCTGCTTCCCTCCAATACCCGACCGCTGGGATCAGGGAGGGCCCCTTCCCTTCGTCCATCCCTACCTGTCTCCCCAGACTCTGCAGCCTTCCCCAGCGGCACGAAGGGCCTGCAGACAACTCTTCCCTCTGCGTCTCTGTGAGGTGCCCGCCTTTCCATTAGAAACCACCCATCACAGCCCCCAAGGCTCAAGCCGCTGCGCCTCACTACCACGCTGCCAGCAGGAGGCGCAGTCCCGTTTGTTCCTGGAAGCACACTGGGAGGCAGACGCTGTTACCGTGCCCACTGTACAGATGAGAAAACCTCATCCAACGTGCTTGGAAAATGCTGCACACTCTCAGTTTTGGAGGGACCCTGGTGACGCCTCGTGGAGTCCAGGGGCGTGCTTTTGGGAATGCTGGGTTAGGGCCATGTTCTGCATGCCCTGGTGCATGAAGATGAGTGGAAGGAACTGGGGATGGCGTAGGGCAAAGAAGACAAAGCTGGGGGCTGGGAAGCTGCTGAGAGCAACGTGTGGGCTGACCTGACAACTCTATAAGGAGGGGTTAGGACGTCAAGCCCAAGGGTTTTCTCACCCCGAGAGTGGTCTGTGAGCAGGCTGAAGGCTGTGTGGGAGGTACTGAGCACCACAGACCTGGGAAGTCTCAAGCAGAAACCTGGTGCCAGATGTTGGAAGATGCGTGGGGGGGGGGGGGGTGCAGTTCCTGGGCTATGCTTGGGTCAGTCCCTTATGGGATGGGCATCCATCCACCATGTTCATTTGCAAGTGGCTGCTTGTTCTGTTTTCCGCGAGAGGGCTCAGAGTTATCCCTACACTGGTACCTCCCTCCTTCACGTGCCAGAACCCTACACGCTCTCTTGAGTGGGAAGAAAGGGCGGGGTCCCAGCCAGCACTGGCAGATGGCTCCCAACCTGTCACCTGTTTGATTATTGCAGACTTGCAGCAGCCACATCCTGATTCATGCCCCATTAAGAGCTATCCACATGCTTGTGAAACCCTCTTACGAACACCACGCCTCTGGAAGTCCAAGGAGCCCAGGGCCCTCCTTCCTCCGCACTTCTTGTTTCTTTTGGAAGGGAAGGGAGTGTTTATCAAGGTCTCACAAGGGAGTGGGGCTCACACAGAAATCCCACCTGCCGTCTTATGGTCCAGCAGAAGAGAGGGGGCACCTTGTTGGAGAAAGCTATCCAACATGCGCGTTCTTTGCTTGGGGCCTGTGGAGCGGAGCAAGGGAGGTCTCTCAGCCCCAGCTCCCTGCTCCCAGCTGAGACAGTTGTCACTACTGGACATTCACCTGAGTGCATGTTGCAGCCACACACACCTTCCGGAACCTCCGTGTGCCTGGCCATGGGTGGCGACATCTCTGAGCGTTGATCTAATGAAACGGTTTCCTGAGCACCCCCACCCCAACTTTAAAGTTTGGGAACATTTGCTGATGGGAAGCAGCGTTCAGATGATTACGGCCACATCATCGACGCAGCATGCTAAGTGCTGTACCTGTGAAGGGTTCATCAAATCCTTACCACAACCCAATGACACAGCTTTGTTATTGTTACACCACAAATAAGGAAACGGAGCAGAGTGGTGTGCTGACTTGCCAAGCCGGTATCGGGGTTCCCACCCAGGTGGACTGCTCACAGCTACCTGCCACAGGGTCTCCCCCTGCATGCTAGGCCAGGGCCTGGCCACCACTGGCCCCCTGAACTGGATTCTGGTCCTTTTCCTGCTGGCCCCTGCCTGTCACCAGGAAAAGCATCTCCTGGCTTAGGAGCATCTCAGGAGGAAGGGCCGAGGGCTGGAGAAACAACTAACCAGCTCTCTCCTCCCGCCCCCCTTCTTCCCGTGCCCAGTGGGGAGGCGATGCCACAGCAGAATTCTCTCTCTGAGTTAAATAACAAGTGGAAGAATTTCAGTGGCTCTGTGGGACCTGAGGACGTCATCAGGGCAGCTCCAAATAAGGGGGTGCTTCATTTCCAGAAGGGAGGGGCTGAGTCTGTCTCCAGAGGCCAGGGCTGAGGCGATGGGGCAGGACTGAGCCTTTAATTCTTGGCATTGACTCTGCTGCTCTGACTTATTTTTTCTCATGTTCCTGGCTTATTATTTATAGAGCGGAAGGCGGGTGGCAGCTCCTTGGCAGGTGGGGTGTGCAGGAAGGAGGCCAGAGCAGCATCTCAGCACCCTCCTGCCCACCCCCAGGGAGCGAGGGAGGAGGCCAGGGTGTGGGTGTGAGGAGGGTGTGTTGTGCGTGTGTGGGGGGACAGGGGTCTCTTAGGAAGGTGTGAGCTGGGCAGAGGGAAAGGGGGAGGAGTGATGGGGAGTCTGTGCAACCGTTTATTACTGAGTCACCCAGCTCAGGCGAGGGACCGACATATGCTACTCCCCTCGGCATGACTCCCTGGGAGAGGCATTCCTAAACCCATTTTCCGGATGCAGTGACTGAGACCTGGAGATGTGAAGTGACCTGCCCGGCCTCACTCCCAGCTGGTGTGAGAGCGCGGGTTCTAGCCAGGTGCTTCGTGTCCGTCTGGGGCTGCCCTGAGGGGACAGGGGAGGTAAGAACAAGAACCTCTGCACCTGCAAGGTGGGGTTCGCACAGGTCTTCCCACCACACTGTCACCTAGCATGCCAACGAAGTCCTCAGGTGCTGCCTTGGGCCGAGAGGAGGGGGTGGGGGGCCAAGAAGGTGGAAATCCAGCCCTTTCCTTTAAACCGGAGCGCTGTGTGTTGTGCTTCTACGTAAGATTTGAAATGAGGCAGAATATTATGAACCAAAGAAGGTGGCTGTGCAGATGGTGAGTTTGTGGAGCCGGCCTTGCAGGGGCAGGAACGGGACAGGGAGAGCAGGGTGCCAGGGGGTCCTCCTGACGGGTGGAGCATCAGAGGGCTGTGGTCACCCTCACCGCTAGTGTGCGGAAACCGGCCTCAGGCCACGCACCCACCCGCCAGTGTTTCTGGGGACTTAGGCCCCAGGTAGCTCCTATTTCCTCGTCAGGTCCCCATGCGATCCGGAAACGAGGCTCTCAGGAGTCCCACCCTGCAGGGGAGACTGGGCTGCCATCTGGGCCCAGGAGAGACGGTGGGAGAAACACCAGGTAAGTCACGGCCTCTCCGAGCGCCTGGGGCGATGAAAGCAACCGGGAGGAGGTGGTGTCAACCACAGACAGGCCAGAGGGGAAGTGAGCGCAGTGTGGAGGTGGCTGGGCGGGGTGTTGCTGAATGTGTTAAAGAGAAGGCCGGCTGGTGTCACACGTGACCCAGGTAAGGCTGTGCATCTGGTCTACCCGGCAGGCATCCCGTGGACCGGATTCAAGTATTAGTTAAGCATTAACACAGCACAGTGTTACAAATCCTTTCAAATTCGATTGAGCCCAAGCCACGTCATCTGCCTGCAGTGCCCACCTGTTAACACACGTTCCTACCCACTCCAGTCCCATGACAGATCCGCCCCCAGAGCTGTCTTCCCAACTCAGATCTCATCATGTCTGCCTGCCTTTCTCAATCTCTCAATCAATCGCTCTCAATCTCACACATGTTTCAGTAGCTTCTCATCTGCCCCTCTTCTCTGCAAAGGAAAGATCTGAGGCGTCTGAGGTCTGGCGTCCACCTGGGATCCTGTCTGCCTCTTACACCTCTTACACCACCCTCCCCTCACTCCCTCTGCTCCAACCACAGAAACCTTCTTTCCTTCCCCCCATTAGCCAGGCCCTTCCCCTTTGCGGAGCTGGGTGTCTCTGCCTGGAATGTTCTCCCTTCCCTGGGTTGCTCCTACTTGTCCTTCAGATCTTGGCTTGGATGTCACATCTGCAAAAAATCTTCTTTGTTCCCCCGGCCAGGTCAATACCTGCATCCTAGCCGCTCTCCTAGTACTGGGTGCGTCTTCTCTGCACCCTGAACCCCAGTTGGCAATTTACACTTGTTTGCAGAGACTGTTTGATACACGTCTGTCTCTTGCACCGTGCACTCCAAGAGGGTGAGGACCCTGTCTGCTGTTGCTCTCCGTTCTAGCCTCGCTGCACAATGCCTGACATGCAGAGAGGCTCCATCACTTTCTGCTACGTTAACAACCATGGGCTCGGGGAGACCTAACGGCGCACGGGCTCCTGTGCACAAAGCTGGGGCTCAGGCCCGAGGGCTGGGCGGAGGAGTGCTCTAATGCAAATGGAAGGAGCTGCTCCGGTGGGAGCTGTCAGGCTGGGAGATGGATGGGGCTGGATACCAAGACGCCATCTTGTGCTGGCTCCACCAGGCCAGGCTCCAGCACCGAGGGTCGGAGCATCAGACTGGATCAAGGGCAGTGGGGTGCTGAGCAGGCTGGTCCAGGAGCCAGCTCTCTCTACCCACCCTCCATCCATCTCCTGCCTGGGGCCAACAGAGCCAGGCCAGGCCAGGAATGTGCTGAGGCAGCTTTTGGCACTCACCTGCACCACCATTCTATCGTGTGGCTACGTGTAAACAATGACAGCACCACACGTGCTCGTGAACACGAACCTTTAAGAACCAACTGTGAGCCAGGCTCCAGAGATATGGACGTGAAACATTTGCAAACGTCTCGCAAAACCTCAAACTTGGAAGGGAACTTCAAGGTCATTCAATCCCACCCCAAAGCTTGAGTCCCTTCTCTCCTTGGATGTGCAGCCTGGTCTACACCGTCCACACGGCCGCAGCTAACCGGCTCTCCCCAAGCACGCGGAGTTCAGGTTCCTTCGTCCGTGTCTGCCCACCTGTCCACACACTCTCACGCTGCTGCGACCTTCAGGCAAGGCGGCCCCTCACCTGCAGCTCCAGCCTGCATGCACACAGGAGGTCTCTGACTTGCTTGAATGAACTCACGGCAGTGATCAGTGGCTTCCTCTCCCACACAGACCACTGTCTCAAAGAACAGCATGACCCAGAGACCTGCACACCAGGAAAGGACACCCTCGAGGTTTCAGCCTGTATTCCCTGGTGCCCACCCGTGTGTGTGAAGGACCATGAGAAGAACACAACCTGTGTTTCTTCCCTGGGCCATTGTGTGTTCCGTGGCCTTCTGTGCATGTGTGTGTATGCGCGTATGTGTGTGGGTATGTACATCTGTCTGAGTGTGCATGTCTCTGTGTGTGTATGACCATGTATGTGTGTGTGTGTGTGCAAGTGAGGGGGTGCCTCAAAGAGGGGGTTGCCGAGAGGGTTGTTCAGCCCTTGCTGGCTCTGAGTACCTCCCAGGATGGGTTATACAGTACAAAGTGAGGAAGAAGGGGACTTGCGTTTCTGACAAAGGGCAGTATTTCTGGGTTTGTGAAGAGGACACTACACCAGGTTCAGAAAAGCCACTTTCTCCTCCATAACTCTTCCCTTGAGCGTTACTGGTGCCTGTTTTGCTCTCTCGCTCCCAAGGGAAAGATTCCTCTGCTTTGTCTGACCCACCAAGAGCAAGGGCTTCCCCCTCTCCACGTTCTCTCCCCACCGCCATGCCAGGAGGGGACGCCTCATTCTAAAGCGGGTGCAGATCTCTCCTCCCTTCCCCAGCTGCCTCCTTCCTACCTTGCAATCAACCTGTCACCATCTCCCTTGTTTCAGTGCCTTCTGTCCCCTTTGTCTTCCTGAGACCCGAAAGAGTTGACCGAGGTCAGTGGGAAGATGTGTGTTTGAGGGGTTTGTCTGTTTTCTGGTTGAGGGTGTGGATGAGAGAAGGGAGAGGTGGGAGATGGTCCCCTGAGATCTCTCCTGGTGGAGGATAGTGTCCGGGCAAGGACTCCCCTCGGGGTGTGTGCCTAGAGATCACGCTCCAACTCTGGAGGATTTACCGAGGAAAAAAAAAACTCATCTTGGGACCAGATCCCCAGTGAGGGCGGCAGGAGCCAGTCCTTGGGACACAGCTCTACCCAAGAGACTGTTTTCCCAAGAGAGGAGAAGCTGAGGAAGCTGGACAGCAACATAGAGGGGAGAAGGGGCACAGGGCGCCAGGCAGCCCTCCCCTCCTGGGACCTGAAGGGCCACAGACTCACCCCACAAAGTAGGAGATGATGAGAAGCTGAACTGCCCGGTTGATGATCCCAATGGTCCAGCTCTTCACAACCACAGACTTGGTGGTCTCATAGGTGAAGAAATCTGACATGCAGTTCATGCTGAAAGAGTGCTCACGGGCTGCTCAGAGGGACCCAGTGGTGGCCTCAGGAGGCAGCGGTCCTCAGGCAGGGGGACAGGGATCAAGGAGGCCTGGAGGGGGCAGCTTAGAGGGGCTCGCGGAATGGGGAGCCTGTTCCTTTTAAGTCAGGCAACCCTAGCCCAGTGCCCAGGCTTTCTCTGCTCTTGACACTCTGGGCTGCCAAGAGTCCAAGGCCAGGGCGGGGGACCCCTTTTTGTTCGTCTCCACCCCACTCCCCTGTGATGTCACGGCAGGGTGGGGTCTCCAATCCCAGGCTCCTCCTGTTTGCCTGGGATCCAGCTGGCGAGGGCCCTCTGGGACTAATGTTTTATCTGCACTCTGTCTACCGTTTCTGTTCCGTTCCCTTGTGCTGCATCTTTAGCCCAGCTCACCAGCTGCTTTATGTTCTCCTAAAAGCCCCTCGCAAAGCCCCATCCCCCAGCCACCTAATGGCCTGCCTGATCTGAGTACCCCTCACTCCAGTCTTCCTAAAGCCACTCAGTTCTGCAGGCATCCTCTCCCTTCCCAAGTTGCCTCCAATAGAATGGGGGGTCAGGAGAGGGGCCTCAAACAGGTCTCTGGGTCTCCTGGGAGGAGCTGAGTAAGGAGTCACCGTTCTTCTAACTCAGGGGGCAGTGGCCGAAGCCCTACCTGTAGCATAGCATTCTCAGGCTGGCTTGTTGTTGTTGTGTTTTTGTTTTACCGTCACTTCACTTGTCTGAATCATTTGTTAGGTTGTGTGCTCCTACAAGGCGGGTGCTGTTTCCACCTTGTTCACTAGTTTCCTTAAATCCTAGAACTGTTGGCGCTCAACATGTATTTATTGAATCCAGTCGAACAGATGTTACTATGCGGCTAAGGCCGTTACCCAGAGGTGAAAGCCAGGAGTTCAGGGAGCAACAGTGCATGCCCGCTGTCTCTGGTCCCAGCACGGAGTCAACGAGCCGGTCTAACTGCTTTAAGGCAGACTGTCAGAGAAATCTCGAGCTGAAATCTTCTGTCCCCATGTCTTCATTCGGACACTAGCATCATTCTGGATGTCCAGTGACTGCGATGAGGACAGAAGACACCTGGACTGGGCTCTGGGCTCTGCTCTCTGGCTTTACTGCCAACTCCCTGAGACCCTGGTCAGCTCCTCTTTGGGCCTGGGTCTTCCCACCTGCAAACGGAGGTTGAAGTAGACACACTCAAACGTGTCTTCCAGGTCTGGCCCCCTGTGATGTTCAAGATGCATCCTGGGAGGATGTGAGGGGGCCTGGCTTCTCCCAATCCCAGGCTGGTGCAGTTTCAAACCAGTCTTGGCTCCAAGGCGAATCCGACACCAGCACCTGAGCTCACACCAGCCTCTTGCAGGCGACCCTACATGGTGGTGAGAGATGTGAGGTGTTGGGGTGCAGAGAGTGAACTCTTCCCAAAGCATCCAATCCCACGAGGCGGGAGAACAGGGCAGTCACAACCACACCAACACCCATATTCTCTTCGCAGCCACTGGAAGGGGTTATTTCTCTCCACAACTCTTTTCAAGTATTTTTCTTCCTGTCCCACAGACTCCTTTCCACTCCACGGAAACCACTATCGTGCAGAAGAGAAGGACCCACATCAATCTAACAAACATACACACGCATCTGTGGAAAGTCCGCTAAAAGAAAATCACACAATTTCTCTTTAAAACCTAGTCCTCCACTGAAGAAGTGTCTATAACTTTTAAGGAGCCCTACGCGTTCCCATTTTCTGCCTGGTGCCACGCGGGTGGGACCTCCTCGCCGGCGGGCCGCCCCCAGGTCCTCCAGAGGCGCGACGCTCTATCCGACCGCTTCGAAGGCGGGCTGGGCTCGGGTCTCTCTAGCCAGCTTGTCCTCTCTATGGTTCGGGGCACAGCTTCCGGTGGCGGGACGCGGGGCCGCGCACGCGGGAAAAGCTTCCCCGGAGTCCCCATATCCCCTGTGTTTCCCCGCCCCCCCTCCCCTGCGTCCCTCAGCGCGCCCACCGCCCGCACCAGGGCCGTCGCGAGGCTGCTGCTTGAGGAGGTTGGTGGTCGCGGTCCCCGTGCTCGAGGAGGGTCGAGCCCCGCTCCCCCGCGGGATGCTCCAGATGGATCGTCCCGCGTTCGAATCCGCGGGCAGCGGGCGAGCCCATTTTAGGGGGCGGGGGGAACCAGGGTCTGGGGCCGCAACGCGGTGGGAGCGCTGGGAGGGGAACCGTGCACTCGGAGATGGGTTTGTGCGCGGGCGAAGTGCGGGCTCTGGGCAGGCCCTGGGGTACCGCAGCTCGTTGCCATGGCGCCCGATGGAGCGCTCAGAGCCAGTGTCTGGTTGAGGGGTAAGCGCTGCTCCAGGCCCGGTTCTTAGCCCGGGCTGGGCCTGGCCCCTCGAGTTCTGGGGAGCCCGCCTGCAGGCTCCCAGGCAGAGAAGATCCTAGACATCCCAGGCGCAGCCATGGGTTACCACCGGGCCCCATCCGTGGGCAGAGTGAGGTGTTGATTTCATGCTCGTGTGTCTTCCTCTTGAATTCAGATCCCAACCTGCTGAGTATCTGCACACCCACCCAGGAATTGGGGCCCAGCTCCCAGTTGAGGCCAGAAGGGGCAGGTCAGCATGGCAGAAACACTGGAGTTCAACGACATCTATCAGGAGGTGAAAGGCTCCATGGTAAGAAGGGCTTGTGCTTCAGATACGGTTGGAGAGAGGGGAGGGGAGTAGGGTTTTTGTCCATTACAAGAGCTTGCTTGGATGGTGTTGCTGCTTTGGAAAAGGAGTCAGGGTATCGTGTAACTGGTGTTTCCCCAATAAAAGGCAACAGTGAGAGAGTACACAAGTTACAGGGTCTCAGAGCTTGAACATAACGTTCCTGCTGCTCAATCCAGAATCCCGAAACTGAGGACCTGCAAGGGTTCTGGATACCAGAACCAGGATTGGAATCTGGGCATCCTGGCTGCTTGTCCCTCCCTCCTGGCCCCCATCACTTCAGCTTGCTTCTGGATTGACATCTTGCCGGCCCAGAATGGGTGGGTTTTGGGTGGGACTGTACTACATATGCACTGTATGTGGTCCCTGTGCATTTGCGTTTATTTTTCCAACAGAATGATGGTCGGCTGAGGTTGAGCCGCCAGGGCATCATCTTTAAGAACAGTAAGACTGGCAAAGTGGACAACATCCAGGCTGGGGAGTTGACGGAAGGCATCTGGCGCCGTGTGGCTCTGGGCCACGGACTTAAACTGCTCACAAAGAACGGCCATGTCTACAAGTATGATGGCTTCCGAGAATCGGTGAGGTGTCCCGTTACCATAAACCCCTTTTATGGTGCCATCTTTCTTAATTATAATCTTCTAGAGGGAGTTGGGCATCCTTCTTCTGTTAGCCATGCAGTTGCTGATTTGGGCTCTGTAGAGCAGGGCCTTTGAGACCATTAAGCAATTGATATTGAACTTTGGGTGTCAAGAGTCTTGGGAGTGTCTTTGTGCCCTGATTCCAGAAAATTTTCTACCATTTTGATTTTTTTGGTGGTTTCTGCTTGTTGCCTTTATCCAGGTGCAGAGTTTTAGCTTGATGCTTTTGTTTGGGTTTTCTTTTTCTCTTTTGAACTGCTTGAGTTAAAGACTTGACTTCACTTTAATGTCCACTTTCATTAAAGAAGTACCTACATAAAGATAGCACTGTGCAGCCCATAACCACGAATTGTCAGTTCCTTGTTCTACTCTTCCCCTCCCAGAGATGCAGTCCCCAGAAACAACCTCTTTCAACATCCTTTTAAACAGTTTTATAGCTGAGATTCTAAGTCAGCATGGATTTCTGATAAAAGGTATATTGGGCAATTTCTCAGAAGTAGATAATCCCAGAATGTTCAAGTTTGTGTTAAAACCACCAGGGTTACTGGGATTGCTCTCTCTGCTCCACCTGCAGGAGTTTGAGAAACTCTCTGATTTCTTCAAAACCCACTATCGCCTTGAGCTAATGGAGAAGGACCTATGTGTGAAGGGCTGGAACTGGGGAACGGTGAAGTTTGGTGGTGAGTCCTGGGCCAGGTTGAGGTTTGGGGAGAAGGTAGGATGAAGGGTGTCAACCTTTAACTTGTTTAGTTCTTTTCTGTCACTCGTCTCTAATTTCCTCTCAGTTTGTAATTCAGGATGTATTTATCGAGGACCAACAGTGTGTTAGGCACTGTGCCTGGTCTTGGGGGTACCATGTGAACAAAGTAATCCTAGTGCCCTGTTCTCAGGGGACCTACGTCTGGGTCTGGTGGGAACGTGATTTATGCAGATTCGAGGGGAGGAGCCGTGACTTGATAGCCGTTTCCCCACAGGGCAGCTGCTTTCCTTTGACATTGGCGACCAGCCGGTCTTCGAGATACCCCTTAGCAACGTGTCCCAGTGCACCACAGGGAAGAATGAAGTGACACTGGAGTTCCACCAGAATGATGACGCAGAAGTCTCGCTCATGGAGGTGCGCTTCTACGTGCCTCCCACCCAGGAGGATGGCGTGGACCCTGTTGAGGTGAGGCCTCCCCAGTCACCTTGGGGGCAGATGGTGCTGAGCAGGCCAGCTGGCCGGGAGCAGGGTCTGCTGCCCCATTCCCAGTGTGTGCTTTTGCAGGCCTTTGCTCAGAACGTGCTGTCTAAGGCAGACGTGATCCAGGCCACTGGAGACGCCATCTGCATTTTCCGGGAGCTGCAGTGTCTGACTCCCCGCGGGCGGTACGACATTCGGATCTACCCCACCTTTCTGCACCTGCATGGCAAGACCTTCGACTACAAGATCCCCTACACCACGGTGCTGCGCCTCTTTTTGCTGCCCCACAAGGATCAGCGCCAGATGTTCTTTGTGGTGAGCAGAGATCACTGGGGGTGGATTGACCTGGTTTCTGCCTGAGTCTTTAGTAGATGGATTTCTCTGGGGTTTAGTTAATCAGCAAGTTCTTGTGGGGCATCGACTGGTGCTAAGCCTTGTCCACTCTTTCTTACCAGATCAGCCTGGATCCCCCCATCAAGCAGGGCCAGACCCGTTACCACTTCCTG